TAGTATTTCAACACCCTGCTGGGACAGTTCTTCTCAGATGGATGCCCTCCTCACTCTGCTCAGTCTCTGACACCATGCGTTGGGCAGCGGTCCTACATGGATGACAATTAAAATTGCTGAGGTTCTGACACCTTTCAATAGGCTTCTTCCTGTCCCCCCTCGAATGACTTGGGCTCTCTCTGGCAGACCTCCCATGTGAATCTCCCCCCATCAACCCAGTAAAATCTTGTTATATTTCATTTTGATTAGGCTTAAGATGCATTAAGAAACAAACTGAAGTTAGTTTCAATTTACTGCAAAAATATGCGCTACACATTTTTTTCTGAAATGGGCTGTTTTCTTCCAGCCAATAGTATGCTTCATTAATCAGGGATCCATAGCCTTTTCAGCCATGGCTTTCAAAGGGGCATTACCATGACATTGTTTATTAAATTGATTAAATTGATTAATTACAACATCAGAAGGATGTTCCAAAATGGAATCCACTTGATCCAAGGCCAGGTAACTTTACAAAATCTGCAAGGCATAGATTCCAGGATCTTCAGATTGAGGCAGGTAGGCAAACTCTCTGCGAGCTGAGTGTACAGGGTGGGCAGTGCTGATGATTGATCCACTTACACATTGAATACACTTGGGTGGAAGAATAAAAGTGAACTTACACTTCTGAGGGTTACAAATACTTACTTCCATCTTCTTTTAAGACTGCAGAGAGGTTTAAAAGAAAATAGTACAGAACTACCCTATGATCTGGCAATTGTGCCACTAGGTATTTACCCAAAGAATACAAAAATATTAATTCAAAGGGATACAGGCATGCAATGTTTATAGCAGCATTATTTATAATAACCAAATTTTGGAAACAGACCAAGTGTCCAACGACTGATGAATGGATAAAGAAGATGCGGTACACATATACAATGGAATATTACTCAGCCATCAAAAAGAATAAAATCTTGACATTTGCAATGACATGGATGGAGCTACAGAATATTATGCTAAGGAAAATAAGTCAGTCAGAGAAAGACAAATACTATATGATTTCACTCATATGTGTAATTTAAGAAACAGAACAAATAAGCAAAGGGGAAAAAAGAGAGAGAAAGAGAGGTAAACCAAGAAACAGACTCTTTCTTAACTGTAGAGAACAAACTGATGGTTACCAGAGGGGAAGCGGGCAGGGGCATGGGTGAGGGGCGATGGGGATTAAGGAGGGCACTTGCTGTGATGAGCAGCAGGTGTTGTATGGAGTGTTGAATCACTGTATTGTACACCTGAAACTAATGTAACACTGTATGTTAACTAACTGGAATTTAAATAAAAACGTAAAAAAAAAAAAGAAAATAGTACATGTGACAACAATATTTAAATGTATGATTTTTGAAGAAAGGGTGGTTTTGGTTTGTTTTTGTTTGCAGTCAGTTTATTTTGCCTTTCCAGTGTTAATGACAGTTCTGAGAAATGCATTGGACTACCGGTCCTGGAATTTCAGCTATCCCTTGTGCTTCTATAGGCTTAGTTGGAAAGTATGAGCTTTTCGAAAGCCTTCTTTGCTCATGAAAACAGAGGGAGCTCTTGGTGAAGCATCTTATATCTTTTGTTACAATTTGTATTTTTGCACAGAAAATACTTCACCATAGTAAACTAAACCACCACCTGAGATGCTACAATGATGTCTGTATATCAGTGTTCTTAGCGCTTCCACTCTCTGTGAATAAGGGCATGACACAGGGGCCTTAAGTAAGACAGACATGTATTTGATTCTGTTTAGTGGCTTGGCTAAATCTTTTCCTTCTTCTGAACCTCACCACTTCATGCCGGTTTCCCACTTCATAGTGATGTGGTCCTAGGCGAGTTGTATAATCTTTCAGTGTTTCCCCCCCTTCAACCAAGAATAATAATAGTACCTACGTAATAGGTTTTTGTGAAGATTAAATAAGGTAATGCAGTACGGTGGTCAGCACAGAGCCCCGTACGTAATCAGTGTATAATAAACTTTCTTCTTAGCTATTATTCAATTCTTGTATTTTACATGTTTTTATAGTCTTTCTTCAGTGGTAGTATATTTTCATCAGCCACCTCAGGGGTATTTTGGAGACTCTGCAGTGATTCACAGCTCTGCTCTCTACAGTGGACATATCAGGAAAGGTAGTTGGCTTTTTTTTTTTTTTAATCACTGCCAACCTTTGTCACCAAGAACATTTGTTACCTTTTCCCAACGAGCGGAGCAAAAGCTGAGTAAGATGAACTCTTCCCTCTACTCCGAGGAAATACCAAGCTTTGGAGGTATTTTGTAAATTTTGGAAAAAGTAGGAAGAACTTGGTGTTAGAATAGTGGCAGGATGTGTATTTGTGCTGAGTTGTTTCATTTCAGCATGTTGAAAACTTGCTGAACTTGGAGACATGAATTGATAGTTGCACCAGTAGGTGCAATTAGGTCAGTTTTTTCAACAGCACTTGGAAACATAAAGCGAGAAAATCAGCAGTTAGGATAAAACAAGGTTAGAGTTTGATGAGGAAGAGTTGAAGGCACTGGTGAGAGGTTATTTAAGGAGATGAATTATAGGATATGGCTGGCAGAAAAGGAGATAAAGCCAGAGAGATGCTTATAGATTATGAGACAAGCAAAGATGGAGAGATCAGGAGACAGACAGTCCTTACTAGGCTGAAGACCCATGGTACTGGGTACAAAGGTTTGAAAGGGCTGACAGAATACAATATTTTGGTGGGATTTTATAGTTTCAATGTTTCAGGCTTGGATGACTCTGGATGACAGATATTTCTGGTCATGGTCTTGAGAGTAGGAGGGGGAGAGAAAGTAAGGGGAAAGCCATTAGAGTTGAAGAGGTTATGAAACTGTGAGTCCAGAACATTCCATGGATCCTCCCTGACATTCCCTGACATTACTGGGACTCAAAAGTCCCCAGAGTTTTCTCGCCTGAGAGACACAGCTCTTCTCCAGGGCACAGAAGGCAGGAGTGATCCCACCCTCAGAGGAGAGCCCGCTTGCTATTAAAAGGATAAAATGAAGAGGAAGAAAGGAAAAGAAACAAAAGGAGTTCTGGCTCCAAGTGGTTCTTCAGTGCCCTTGCAATTGCATTTCTGCTTGATCACTTCACCAGACATGCCTGTCATATCTGAGTTTCTTTTGCACTTAAGTTATGCTCTTCCTACTTAATATTTATGTCACAGGAGAAGAGGCTCAGAGCACTTCCAAGACTGGCCCATGATGACATAACATGTTGTTACACTATGAGGGGGATAAAGGTTGCAGGTGGAATTAAGGTTGCTAATGGGCTGGCCTTAAGATCAAGACATTGTTCTGGATGATCTGAGTGGGCCCAATGTCATCACAAGGGTCCTTATAAATGGAAAAGGAAGGGAAAAGAGATAGTGTCACGATGATGCCATATAGGAGACTCACCGGCCATCGCTGACTTTGAAACCAGGGGCAGAGGGCAAGGGACTGAGGAGTGTGGGTAGCCTCTTAGAAGATTAAAACAACAGGAAAACAACTCTTCCCCACAGCTTCCAGAAAGGAATGCACCTGTGCTAATACCTGGATTTTAGTCCAGGGAGACCCATCTCAGACTTCTGAACTCCAGAACTGTATGATACTAAATCTGTGCTGTTTTAAGTCACCAACGTTATGGGAATGCTTAATGCCGATAAGAGAAAACTAATTCATACCCCCTCGAAATACCGTGGAGCATATGCATCCAGTCTGAAGGATTCATACCCACCCCAAACCCGTGAGGACCACCTTGCCCTTGGATCACTGCATTGCTGGGGCTGCCCAGGCCTGCACAGGGTTGAAGGAGTAGCCTTCCTGCACCTCTCATTGGACACATGGCTGGCTGGAAGCCATGGAGGACCAGTATGGGGCCAAATTCCTCCTGAATGGAGTGAGGAAGCCTGTTTCAGCCCAGAGGCGTGAAATCTTGGCTGGATTACCCAGTAAATTCTCAGGATGCTTGGCGAGCCCCCTGGTTTGCAGCATTCTCTCAGTAATGTAAAGCTCCAGCCCAGTGGATGCCCCCTCCATGAGCAGCTGGGCAGGTCAACTGGAGAAATACCTTCACCCAGGTCTTGGGCTTATTTACTTCCTCCATTGTCTTGGTTTCCTTGTGGGTGAGTGGAGGTGGGCTAGGAAAGGTGGGGTAATAAAAGTAGAAAGGCACCAGCGGGACCTGCAGACCCAGCGGAGCTCGTAATCATTTGGTCGCATCACCTCTTCGTGCCCATGGACTGGTTCAGGGTTGAACCAGAAGATTAGCTCAGGCCATTTCCCTCTGTGTGACTTGGCCAAGAGAGAAACTGCCCATTTCTATTTTAAATGGAAGTCCTAATATGCTTTGGAGGGGAATCCCAGAGAAGCCTGGCCCGATGGCGGGGTCTCCGTAGAGCATTGTTAGGAAAAGTTCGGAACTGGGTGGAGAAAGGCAGCCAAGGGGGCAGCACTGAGCCGGGAGGGTTGGAGGAGTGGGGTCCCTGGTGCCCCACCTCTGCGCTCAGCACTTTCGGCCTGTATTTCGGCCAGAGAGGGCTGGCCTGGGGGCCTCTCTTTTCGCAGTCCCGCCCAGGGTGGCTCTCCCGGGTCTCCCCTATTTGGCCGGCTCTGCAGGGCTCTGGGCGGGGCCGGAGGAGCGTGGGGGTGGGAGGCCGGAGGAAGATGCGCGGAGTTGGCTGCGAGGCCCCGCGCGGAAGGCAGAGGGGTGGGGATCTTGGGTGGGCTGCCCCCTCCCGCTCGGACCCGTCCCACACCCCGCGGAAAGCAGATTGCCAGTTGAATCATTCCCCTTTCAGGAGGGAAGGGGGATAAAGGTAACTAGCCCTTTTCCCCTTAAAAAAGCAAAGGGAAGTCGTGGGCAGCTTTCCAGCCGCTCCGTCCCACTCCTGGACCATGCACCTCTGCATCTTTCTGCTCGGCCACAGGCGGGGACTTGATTTCTTGAGCTGAGAGCTAAACCTTGGTGACTTTTCTTCTCCCCAACAACCGAATCATGCCATGTGCCCAGAGGAGCTGGCTTGCAAACCTCTCCGTTGTAGCTCACCTCCTTAACTTTGGGGCCCTTTGCTATGGGAGACAAGCTCAGCCAGGCCCGGTGCACTTCCCGGACAGGAGGCAAGGTTAGTGGCTTTTCTTTATTTCCTTTGAAAACCGTGGTGGTGAGACGCGTGGAAAGTTGGTTGCTCTCCCTTCCCCTCCCCCACTGGCTGAACTCTGCAAAACCGTTTGGCTGAGTTGTAAGGAAATCTGGGCTGGGAGCTCAGTAACATGGGGTATCTCAGAATTCAGTGTTGAATGTGATGGTTTCTTAATTCTTACTGAAAGGCCAGTATCCCGTCTCTTACACACTAATGCTGCAGCAGGGGAAAGACCCAAGAGGTAACTGGTAATGCCGCCCCCCTTTGTCTCTTCTTTGAATGCTGCACTGTTTCAATCCTCTGTTTTTCAAATTCTGAACATGGAAAATGATTTTTTTTTTTTTTTTTTAAGTTCCAACTAGCCACCGGCAGTGTTTCCAGTTAGTTTCAGCTCTGGACAGGGGAGGGGAAATGTGATTCCGGCCCCCTGCTGAATGAGTTTGGCTGTGTTTTGGTTTCCTGGAAAGATTTAGGGCTGTCTTTTAAAAATAACAGTTCTTTTGGGGGGAAATTTACCACTGTAGGGGCTCACCTTTCCCAGTCCTGCCTTCCTGGGGAGGGCTGACTGCATGTCCTTGTGAATGTCATGAAACATACAATGCTGTGGAAAACACTGGCGGGCCTGTTAGGACAACTTGTCCTTTAAACCTAACACCTTGGGCAGAGCAGCGGGGCTGCTTCTGCTTTTTTATTGGACTTGGAAGGGTCAGAGACACTTTTGTGTTCGGTGGGGAGTTCCTTGTGCCTCTAGGAGAAGACAGAGCGGCAAGAGTGGCCTGTGTGGCTGCAGAAAGTTCCATGCACCAAGACTGCTTCGGCACTCCGCATGTGTCAGCCCCTCAACCACTGTCCACAGCCTTCTGGGGTGCGGGGACCATTGTTACTGTCCCTGTTTTAAAGCTGAGGAAGCTTGATGGGTTTATGGGCCCAGCTCATGGTGGAGTGAGGTTTTGAACCCAGGTAGCCTGGCTCCAGAGCCTGGCCTCTTAGCAATAATAGGGTAGGGGCAACACACACACACACACACACACACACACACACACACACACACACACACAGAGCACTGTTTTAGCAAACATTATGTTCAGTGTTTGTTGACTATGCTCAAGCCTTGAGAAGCTTCTCTAGCATTTGGACCCCCTTTAATCCGCAAGATCACTTGGGTGGCAGAGATCAGGAGCCTGCCTTTGTTGAGGATTTCCACACAGGGTTCTGCCTACATTGCAAAGTTCAAATACTGCTGAGAGCTCATCTGCTGTGACTTTAGGAGCAATCCGAAGCAAGTCCCTTTTGCTTTCCTTGGAAGCTGGAGCCTGAACACCAGGGTTAGATGTCAATCACCCAGCACTTGTTTGTGTAAACCTTCCAGATACAATCTCCCACCCCCAAGTTTAAAATAGCAGCGTTTGTTTTTCTTTGAAAAACAGCCCCTTTGTGAAAAGTCTCCCTTCTGGCAGCACAATCAGAGCCTGTGAGCGCTTCCCAGGGCGTTTGGAGATGATTTGGTTCAAAGACACACATTGTCCTGCATTGGTTTTCAGCTCTCCTTGCTCCACATCTTCTTCGTAAGCAAATTCAATTTAGTGTGGAGCAGACGCCCCCTGGGCGTTGCTCTCTCCTCTCTGGAAGGGGAGAGATGGTTGTTTTGCTTGGTCGCAACTGGGGTTATGTGCTGAAAGTATTTGATACTGACAAGTAGCTGTAGAGTGCTCGGAGTTTATCAGCGATGCACAGATAGTTAGGTTTTAAAAATAATTTCCATTTCTAAAAGTCTTCTCCAGAATGTTTGTTCTTAACTCACCAATGGGTTTACAAGTAACCCACATTTGGTGCAACAGAGAAATTCCTGAGCAGGCTTCATTTAGAACCGAGTGGAGAGAGGGAGAACAATTAGAGAGAGAGAGAGAGAGAGAGAGAGAGTTGGAGAGAAGGGATGAGAAAATTCTAAGGCTTCTTGGAACTAGGATGACCTGGGTTTTGCCCCAAATGACCAGCCTGTCATTTCACAAAGAACCAACGTACCTAGATTTCCACTTCTACTCTGACAACATTTTTTTGTTTTTTTTCTTTAAAGATTTTATTTATTTATATGACAGAGACCGAGAACACACAAGCAGGGGGATTGGCAGGCAGAGGGAGAGGGAGACGCGGGCTCCCTGCAGAGCAGGGGGCGCCCAATGAGGGACTCGTTCCCAGGACCCCGGGATCATGACCTGAGCAGAAGGCAGTCGCCCAACCAACTGAGCCACCCAGGCGCCCTCTGACATCTTTGAATTGCACCCAAATTCTGAGCATGTAAACTCGAAAGTGACTTCAGATATCATCTCTGCTATCCTTATTTTTCCGGAGGAGGAAGGGGGGCCTCGGAGGTGAGTCTGTTAGTCAGCGTGTGTTCAGTGGGCACCTGTGAAGTGCTCCTTCACCCGAGGGGTGGAGGGGATTGTTCAGGGTGTGGTTGGAAACATTCTGACTCTAGATAATCGTTAACATTCTTCCTAGCCCTACGTGTCGGGCAGAGGGAGGATTTTAGCCCTGGAAAAGAACACAGGGGTACATCCAATCTTTTCTGGGACCAGAAAAGGCAGATTTGACACTCTGCCCAGTATTCTTTCCACATCACTCACTTGTGATATAGAAAAGTGCAGTGACTTCCATAAGGTTTCTTGGTTCCGAACCAAGTATCAGAACAATGGGAAATATTAGTCCTGTGCACAACATACTGCCTTTTTTTCCACAGCCAGTGATAGCCTCTCGGGTTCCTTATTCCTTGTATTGTCTACAAGTCACCGGCTGCGTCTATGATCTCGTTTGCTCCCGGCAACTCTGAAATCAACAGGGCAGGAACTTTATCTCACGGTAGAAATGTGTTTTCGGCAGCACAGGTTGGTGCAAGAACAGAGGGAGTGTTTCCAGACAAGTGTTTCGAGTGTGCTTCAAGACAAATGGCCTAATTATGTATCTATGCTATTTGGAAAAAAAGAAGGAAGGAAATGATTTCATATATCTTCTTTATGTAAGAAGACACTTCACAGTTTTGATATTTTATTTGTGTTTGTTATCATAAGCAATGATAGTCTGGAGGTTAGTGATCATATAGTTGGTGAGCAAATCCAACCTCCTGTGGCGTATTTTACAACTTGGGGGGGATCAACGCGATCCTCCACATCTTGACACATGTGGTTTTCTATGGTAAAAATATATTTGAAAGGTTGCAGCATCCCATGGAAGAGAATTATGAAAATGAACTTCTGACTCTTAGAGAATTTCATGGCTCTTTTTAGTGCAGAGTCCTTAGAAATTCATTGCTCTCTAAGATAGAAATACACAATACAAAGAGTTAAGTATAGATTTAACCTAAACTATAAAATCTGGCAGGTAAATATTCTTTTACCTCTCTCCTTTCTTTCTAAGCAGAGGGTAAAAAATCGCCTGATGTTGTGAATTTTCAAAAGCACTTGTGCCAACAGGCTTCACTCAAAGCTTCTCAGGAAGTATCATCAATGTTTGCGACCGAGGGTTTCGAGGCTAATTTTAAAGAAGGCAGGCAAGGTATTCAGGGCTGATAATGGGTTTCCATAAAGCTGCAGACTGTGATGGGATTTCAGTGTGCCTCAGTTCCTCCCACCCACAGCCTTGTTGACTCCCCCACTTGATGTCTGGTTCTCAGCGGTAGACCCTTGAGAAGCAGCAAGGGCGGCGGTTAGAAGGGTGGGCTCCGGGCTCACATCGTCCCAGAACGAATCCTTGTCCTTCTTCATTGTCTTTTTACGGGGGTAGGAATGAGGGCTAAGATGAGGGACACAGCTAATAACGTCTGTCCCAGAGAACCATACAGATTAGACAAGACCAGATTGGTATACTCTAAATGTTGGGCTTGACCACAGAAAATGGTAAAAATTATTTCCTGACATGTACTTTCTCCATTCCTATCATATCCCCTCTGAGCTCTGCTTTCTATTGGCCAAAGTTATAGCTACCTCAACTTCCAGACTAAATACCCACTGAGAGGAAGCCAAGGTGAGTGAGGGCTTCTCCCCTGTCTCTGCTTGGAGTTTATATCTATTTATGGCCAGAGTGATCATTGATGGCCAAGTTTGTATCTTTAATACCAATCATAGCCCCTGAGTGCTATTTGTCAAGCACTGTTTTACATCTATTACATATATTAATACACATTGGATCCTCACAACCACCCTAGGAGGTAAAAACTCGTATTATGACGCCTTTGTATAGATAAGGCAACGGCAGGTGGGCCACCAACATAAGTCACACTCCCGTGGCCTCTTATTTCTGTCCACACCTATGGGCTGACATGGCTTAGCTGCTTCATTTGCAATCAAATCAAGAGGCAAAACTAGTCTTCCCTCTTGTTACTCTACCTGCTAAACAGGCATTATTATCCTCCCTTTATTGCTGAGCAAATTGAAGCCTCTTGAAGAAGTCAAGCCACCTTCTTCTTGCCAAATCATCTCCCCAGGGCAGTGGTATCACTTCTACTCTGTTATACATTCTGCCAAGGGCAACTGCTTATGTACGTGAAGTACAGGGGCTAAGAACATGATTTTGAAATAGGAAACATGAGATTTCAGTATAAGTGATGTTGTATATTGGCTCTGGGACCTCTCTTAGGCTCTGTTTCTTTTCTTTTTTTTGCAAACCAAAACACTGCTTTATTGTCAACAGAAGCTGCCTGGGGGAGTAGGGGATCCCACTCAACCCACAAAAGAGCTATCTATGTTCAACGGGCGTCTGGGGTTCGTGGGACAGATGGGTCAGTGCAATGAGAACAGCTGGGGCTGCCACTGGGGCCTGGGTGATCAGCCACAGGGTCTGGGGGGCCAGCAGGGGGCATGGGAGCCCCCGGGGAGGCAGGTCTCGGAGCCCCCTGGCTCATCTGCAGGAGGCCAGTGAGGGCGATCAGCTCAGGCCCACTGAGCCAGGCAGTGGAGCAGCCCGGGGATGGGGTGCGGAGGACCCAGGGAGACACGACAGGAGGTGGGAACAGCAGCTTCAGAGAGCCCGTGACCTGCTGAGAGGCCTCCGACAGGTACAGGGGGACCCGCTGCCCACAGGGCAGCAGCGGGTCTGACAGAAAGACAGCTTCACGGCACACCGCGGGGAACCCTGCATCCCTGGGCGCATGCTCTCCGTTCTGATACCCTGTGGCTGGGGCCAGGGGCCTGAGGTCCCGGCCTGGGGCTGCCTCACACAGCGGCCAGAACGAGGGATGACACAAGGTCCGGCCTGAGAAGGAGGCGCCTGACGCACAGCTGGGCCCCCACACCAGCCGAGGTCCTGCTTTAGCCTTGTAGCGGGGGTCCCACGGGGCCAGCACGGTCATCCTGGAGGGGGCCACCTCCCAGGCCATGTGGGGGGGAAGGGCGCCTGGGGCTCCCGGGGACTGCACGGCAGCCAGGCCTGGGGCGGCCCAGGGCAGCAGCTGCGCTCTCCGGGTCCAGGAAGGCCTTCGGGAGCGGGGCTGCGGGCTGTCCTGTGGGGGAGTCCCTGGCTGCCCCAGTGCTTCCTCTCCAGAGGTCCATGCCCCGCCGGGGTCACCGCCCGCCGAGGGGCCTTGTTCCGTGGGCGCCTGCTCTTTGCCCGCGTCCCACCGCCGAGGCGGCCGGGGCAACACGCCGCGTCTGGGGGAGGGGAGGGCAGCGCCGGGCAGCACCTCTGCGCCCCGCGCCCGCGCCTCCCACCTCGCCCCTCGCGGCCCCCACCTCCCGCAGCGGCCCGCCCTCTCGCCCCACGAGCCCACGTCGCCGGCCCACCTCTCCTCTGTTTCTTAATCTATGAAATGAGAATTCACTGAAATTGTGAGGACTGAGTGAGAAGGGACTGATGGTACCTGGCTCACAGCAAGTGCTCATTAAATGGTTACTGCAGTTATTATCATTATATTATTGTATAGCCAACTTATGCTGGATCTCTTCAAAACCCATTAGAAAGAAAGCAACTGGGTCAAGAACTCTAAATTGTTTGCTCTTTTATTCTTTGAGGAGTAGGTGCTAGGGCTTAGGCAAGCTTTGCCTTTCATTTTATACTTTCAAAAATCATGTTTAATTCTTTGAGATGCATCTTCAGAGACAGGCCCTATAAGGCAAATAGGAGCATTCCCTGAGAGGGGGAGTCAGCATCTGGGCAGTGAGCATGCACAGCTGGGCCCATTGCAAGATGATGGCTATACGCTGTTGGGTAAGACTTTTTCTGCCGCTAACTTCCACCCACTGCTCACCCAGGAGAAGCCAGAGACATTACTGTGAGTAGTAGAAGAAAAGAATAACCCAAGGGAAGCCAATTGTATCCACCCTCTTCCGACCCACCCTGGCCTTTCCCCTCCTAAGCTCTGAACTTGGAAGGTCAGTGAGACTCTGATACTAAATATGTCCAGATATTCTTTGGGGAGTGTCAGAGGACTGAGTCAATTTGACTCCTAGTTCATGGCATGCTAGCATCACTGATTTGTGCAAAACCCCTTTCTTGCTTTATTTTTTTTTAATGCATTTTCGTCCCTACTCCCATTCCTCCTCATGGAAAACCATTTTAATGGGTTCCATATGTATTTTTCATTTGCATATGTTCTGGCTGACTTTGTATTATTGTTTTGGTGTGCATGTATTTTCCACTGATGTCAATGGCTCTGTATTAACTTGTATTGTTTCTTATTTTTCACTGAACATTGTTTTTAAAGGTTTGTCCATGTTGCTATGTGATTTGTTGCTCAGAACCGCCGCAATCAGAAGCAGTGGTTCTGGATTTTTTTTACACCTGAAAAACTGAGGCTATTTATTAGTAGCTAAGTTGAAAACTCTGCGCTCTGCCCCAGATTTCATCCAAGGCAGAAATGAACAATTTCACAAAGTGTGTTGGAAGGCAGTTGTCTGGGAAAAGAGGCTGTTTTATTAAACGTACGCCATTAAGTCCAGTTCTTTTAGTTAATCAACTACAGATGTGCTCAGTGATAGAGCGACACATTGCGAGCGAGGGAGCTGTGATGGGCAAGATTCTGGCCTCCAGAGGCTTTGGGAATAAAGTCTGATGCACAAAAACCATGGTAAAATGAGGCTATTCTGGGAGGTACAGAAAGTAAGGACCTGAGAGAACTTGAACCAGGGACCTTAGGAGAAAGAAGGGGGTTTGGAGTTGGGACGTTCAAGCCTAAGTGAGAATAAACAGGGTGTCAGTAGAGAGTGCAAAAGTGCGACGTAACACGGGAACCAACGTAAGCTAGAAGGCGCAAGGAATACGCCTGGGAGGTGGCAAGTGGATTTGATTTTCCTTCTCTCTCTCTTGCTTCCTCCCTGACTCCTTTTCTTTCTTTCTTTCTTTCTTTTTTTTTAATTTTTTTCTCTCTAACGCAAAAAAGGAGTTATTTTACTAAGTGGCTAATGGTTTGCCTTAAGTAGCCTGGCATCCTGAGTGATGATTCGCCCCTGCTAGTTAGAGTCCTTGTTCTTTTCAAACATCAGGATGAGGAGGAAGTGGTGGGGATTTAAACGTGAGCAAGCCAAAAGGTGGATGTGTTCTCCTGTGTGGAAGGGACAAGTGTCCTGTCTTGCATTTTTAAAGCGGCAGTTTTCATCTTACCATTTTATTTTGTATACTTTGTAAAAATAAAAAAAATATCCAAGTTTGTTTCTTTAAGTACCCGTTTCATGTTACGGAACACTAATGCTGTGATCGGTGTGAGGTTTGTCAGAGTCTATACGACGGGTTAGCTGTTTTTATTTTTCCTCGAACCTGAGTTAATGGGAAGTTCCTGAGGCGTTTAAGCTCTTTAAAATAAACAGCGAAGCTCTGTGATTTGTATTCATGAACTCAAGACTTGAAACATTCCTTAAGCTGACCTTGCCTTCTTGCTAACGGGACGCCTCGTGAGTGAATTCTCGTCTTGATTTGTCTCTGGGGAAACATCTGCCATCCAGAGTTGCGCCTGGGTGTCGGCTCAGACTGCCACGTGTCATCAAGGAGGGACCCCGAGTCGATTTTGAGTCGTTCAGGGAGTTTACTGTTGCCAGTGTTTGTGCGGTAGATGGGATCTGTAAACTTCAGGCCAACAGGGGTATTTTGCCATCAACACGCTGAAGTTTAAGTTCCAAATGGCCGAGCGTTTACCTTGCCGGAGACTCAGCAGAGAGTGCTCTCAGTTTTATTCTTTGTGTCCTTTTCTTTCAGAGCATTTCATCAAGGCCCTGCCTGAATACCACGTGGTGGCCCCCGTCCGAGTAGATGCCAGTGGGCATTTTCTGTCCTATGGCCTGCACCATCCCGTCAGCACCAACAACAGGAGGAAGAGAGACTTGGATGGCCCAGAGGAGCGGGTGTACTACAGAATTTCGCACGAGGAGAAGGACCTGTTCTTTAACTTGTCGGTCAATCAGGGATTTCTTTCCAAAAGCTATATCTTGGAGCGGAGATACGGGAACCTTTCCCATGTGAAGATGGTGGCTTCCTCGGCACCCCCCTGCCATCTCAGGGGCACGGTGCTGCAACGGGGCACGAGGATCGGGGCTGCGGCCCTCAGCGCCTGCCAGGGACTGGTGAGTGCCTGGGTCCCTCGCCTCCCTCCTCTGCCCCCAGGTCCCTGTCCTCTCAGCGCGCGCACCCAGTACCAGTGGGCTCGCACGCGCCTTCAGCGCGTGTGATGTGCATGGTCCTGGCTGCCAAGTGGGTGGGGGAGAAATGCATAACAGTAAAAGTTGACTGATCTGGGAGGTATGGAGAGTAAGGGCCCTGAGGCCTCAGAGCAGGGAGAACTTCAACCAGGAAGAGCACGGGAGGAAGGGAGGTTTGGAGTCCTGTCTTCAGCCTCTGAGGCCGCTCTGAGGGGATTGTGCCTGCCTGGCTGGCCAGCCCCTTTTGAATTAGGAGGACCTGGATTTGGACAGAGTGAGAGGCTGACTAGCAAAGATGGTGTTGTCAGCAGCTGCTCTGGTAGATAGTTGACTATGTGGACTTCGGCCTCAGACTTCATACGGAAACTTAGGCTGTCAGGTTATCCCTTCGTGCCTTGGTTTTCTCATCTGTGAGAGATCAAGTGGGGATAATGACAGTACCCATCTCACACAGCAGGGCTTGGCAAAGGACGGCCTGCAGACCAAATCTGGACCGCCTCTTGTTTTCATAAATAAAGTTTTATTGGAACATAGAGAAGCCCACGTGTTTGCATTGTCTAAGGCTGCTTTCAAAGTACAACGGCAGAGCTGAGTAGCTGGGATCCGGACTGTATGGCCCATGAGCCCCCAAAATTGCTATCTGGCTTTTATAGGAAAAAAAAATGTCCTTATCCCCGTTAATAGAGTATTGTGGGAATTAAATGAATAAATATATATAAACACCTTAGAAGAGTGCTTACGAATAATACACACTCAATGGATGTTGGCTGCTCTTATTAATTTTTTATGTTTCCAATATGCCAGGTACTGGATTGTGTGGTGTGTGAGGTGGTTTCTGTACATTGCCCTCTTCTGCTTTCCAGCCCCCCATCTTGGTTATATTTTCGTGGATGATGAAGCTTGAAGATGTTGAATAACTTTACTGCACAGCTGATTTGAGCCCAAGACTTTCTACCCCTTACAGGTTGCCCTGTAATCCCCTCACCTCCCCTAGGAGAGGAGGAACCACTAATCTACCTTCTCTCTCTGTTACCTGCTTATTTGAAACCCTTGTTTTAATGAGCCCTCCAGGAGATTCTGATGCTCACTGAAGTTTAAGACTGGACTAGAGCAGTCACTCATAAGCCTGGTTAAACATTAGGATCCACTGGGGAGCTTTTAAAAAGTACCCATTCCCCACCCGTCCTCCCAGATGTTTGGATTTAACTGGTCTGAGACTGGAGCTCAGACATCAGTAATTTTTTAAAGCTCCCTAGGAAACTCTAATGTGTGGTAGGTGTTGCCAGCCAGTGGATTAGCGTGAGTGGGGATTAATTAGCAGTAGTAGCCAATATTACTCTAAAGTAGCAGTTCTCCCCGAATAATTCTAGCACGCAGCCAGGGTTGAGAACTGCTGCTCTCAGTTGCCCCCTCTTTTCATCCTGTGCTTTCCCCGGGAGACTGCACACTGTTTAGCATTATTCCACGCTCGGGAACAGAATATTGGAACCTTTTCCATTTCAAATGGCCCCAGGGAGCAGTGTAGACTCCCATGTGGGCATTTTCAGATTCAGATTCCAGATTCATACTAAACACAGGGGCACAAAGAAGCAAATAATAACTAATGGACTAATGTGGTAGCCAAGATGATGGAAATTTTAGGTTCAAATTGCTGAATGATTTTTGCCAGAAGAACGAGTCTACTGACATAATCTTGGAGCCCTTTACACAGAATTGAACAGTTTATGGACAGTTACAAAATAGGCACTAAAATCCAAATGACTTTCTTTCCTTTCTGTGAGCATATGAGCTGGCCAGCTTCAAGTTCATTTGCCATTATGGCCAGTGCTCCTCATCAGAATGATGGTGGTTGGACTTGTCTCTGATTTCTCCTGATCACTTATCTGGAATCTGACTTCTGTGATACTTATTTTCCCTTTCACTCAAACATGACCCCACAATCAAATTCACAGGATGGCAGGCTCAGGATATATTCTCTTTTAAGCCCCCCCACCGTCCTAAGGACAGAGGTGGCGTTTGGGAAGGCTTTCTGAGGAAGGGAACACTCTCACGTGGAGGAGGACATCTGCTTCTCCTTTCTATGGCTCAGGCGTGGCATCATCTTTGCTTTAGATGTAGTCACCCTAATGCCACAGGCTGTGTTCTCTTGGGGTCGTCTATAATTTAGGGTCTGTTTAGCTTCCCTGGGAGCAGGCTCAGATGGTTGCAAACTGAAGACCCAAGAAAGGTCACTCGGGCCAGGGTGTGGGGTGACCTCCTTCCTCCACTTAATACCTTCCACGTGGCTTTGGTCCCCATATTTTTGGAGGCTGCTCTCCACTGAGTCAGCCCATGTCCCAGCCCAGCAGCATTCCCTCCGTCATCTTTACCATTCTCGTCACTCTCTCCCTTCAAGTCTTTATAACCTTGAAGTTATGGAATTTGCTTCCTTTGAACAGTTTAGTTGATTTGTTCCATTCTAAGTTCTTTGATGGAGAGACCGTGTTGTTTAATCAATTAGACTTGGAAGTCATTACCTGTGAGACTCCTGGGGAGTCGTTTTGGATTTGCTGTTGCCAGGGGCCCTCTAAGGATTTGTTCCAGGTTAGTTTGTTGTTAGTATTTCAGTTGACGTTTCTGTAAAGTGTTACACTCCACACTTCTGCATGATATGGGATTGGGGTTCTGACCCTTCATGGGTACCCCCTTTCACCGACGGCTTGGTCTAGTCTCCCAGCACCTGGACTGTATACCTGAGTCAGTAAATATTTGTAATGTTTGTTATTTTAATAAATATTTTAAATTCTTGTTCACAGTCAGAGACAGTATTTCTCAGCTTAAGCTTTATTAAAGTGAATATGACTTTTGGCTCTATCCTAAACCCTAGCCTCAATTCCAGCCACTACCGGGGAATTAGATCCTGACCCCTAATCTGAAGAGCTAGCTAGCTGGTCATGGCTCTCTCTCTTTCTCTCTCGAGGGCCACTAAGCTTCAACTCCCACTCAACTTTTTCCTTTTCCCTTTTAGCACACTGAGATTTTCTTTCTTGTTTTGAGCCTAATTATGGATTGCAACTTTCAAAGAGGTATTATTTTCAGTTTTTGTTTAAAGTTAAACTTTTTATTTTGAGTTAGCTATAGATTCATATGCAGTTGTAAGAACTAATACTGAGAGAGCCCATGTACCCTTGACTCAGTCCCCTCCAATGGTAACATCTTGCAAAATTACTGTACAATATCATAGCTAGCATTTTGACATTGATACAGTCAAGATGCCCAGCATTTCCGTCCCAAACAATTCCATGTGCTGTCCTTTTATAGACACACCTGTTTCCTTTCTGCCCCCAGCTCTTCCTTATGTGTGCATTTTATATTTAAGTCATGATCCATTTTTTAAAAAAATTTTCCCCTTTATTTAAAAAAATTTTTTTTAAAGATTTTATTTATTCATTTGAGAGAGAGAGAGAGAGACAGAGAGAGCACAAGCAGGGGGAGAGGCAGAGGGGGGAGAAGCAGACTCCCTGCTGAGCTGGGAGCCTGCTGTGGGGCTCAATTCCAGGGCCTGGAGATCATGATCTGAGCCAAAGCAGACGCGTAACCACCTTATCCACCCAGGCGCCCCGAGTCATGATCCATTTTGAGTTAATTTTTGTACAAGATGTGAGACTTAGGTAGAGGTTCATTCTCATTCTCTTTTTTTTTTTCTTATTGCCTATGGATGTCCAATTGCTCCAGCACCATTTTTTAAAAAAAGGCTACCTTCCCTCCATTGAATTGCTTCTATACTCGTCAAAAATCACTTGGAAATATTTTTGTGTCTATTTCTGAGTTTTATGTTCTATTCCACCAGTAGAATCTTTATCACTATAGCTATATAATCTGGAAATCAAGTAAACTGGTTCTTACTGTTTCATATTTTGTCAAAATTGTTTTAGTAATTCTCGTTCCTTTGCCTGTCCATATAAGTTTTAGAATACTCTGACCACAAAAATTTGCTGAGATCTTGGTAGGAATTAAATTAAACCTATATATAAATTTGGGAAATTAACATTTGTTATGTTTAGTCCAATCCGTGAACATGGTAAGTCTCTTCCAATTCTTCCCATGAAACCTATCCAGGTTGACTGGTGGGACTGAAAGATCCATGATGCTTGGTCTTCCCTCCTAATTTTGTAGCTCCTTGGGCCCTCCCTTTTAAATCTCCCTCTGATGGCATTTCTTTTCTTTTTTCTTTTTTTTTAAAAGATTTTATTATTTATTTGACAGAGAGAGACACAGTGAGAGGGGGAACAGAGCAGGGGGAGTGGGAGAGGGAGAAACAGGCTTCCCGTCGAGCAGGGAGCCCGATGCGGGGCTCCATCCCAGGACCCTGGGATCATGACCTGAGTTGAAGGCAGACGCTTAACGACTGAGCCACCCAGGCGCCCCTCTGATGGCATTTCTCACCAGGAATCTCCCAGCCATTAAATGGGCTGTTCTTATGGACCTGCAGGCCCATCCCACCTGTCCGGTAGTTAGTATGATTAGAGAATGAGGCTGTTAAATGGACTCAATAATAGCCTTGTATTTTTTTTTTTTTTAATTTACTTTTCTGGGTCAGAGAATTTATTTGGGGAAAAATTGTGAAACTGTTTTTGCAAATTTGTTCCCTTGGTTTGTTCACTCACATTTATTCTTGAAGTATTCTGTTTTGGAGAGTTTCCTGATTCTAAATTAGTCTGGTAGAATGATAGTAATTTCTTCTGTGCTGAACCTCACTGCCTCCCCTGCTGCTGAAAGATGGGGGCTGGTGGGAGAGACTCAGCTCATTGATTCAGAGCAGGTTTGGAGAAGAGTCTGCTCTGATGGAACCCAAGTTTCTATGCCTCATTAGTACGATTTAGAATTTCTTTTCAGTCTGAAGAATTCCAGTGCCCTTTTCCCTTTTGGTAGGTTTTTAAGTGTGC